CCCTAACTATTCCCAGAGTCGTGCCTATTTGATAACAAAATAAACACTTGCCTAGGGTAACTAATTTTATAAAAAATAATGTTATAATTTTTTTTTGGTCAACATTTCATTCATTCATTACTCAAAGAGTTTCAAACATACAAAGTTTCTAATGCTCTCTTTGCTAGTGAGTCCGCTATGCTATTTTTGGCTCTAACCACATGCCAAAATTCTATAAGCGAAAACAAAGGAACATAAGTTTTGATGTCTTAGAGGATTCAATTATCTCTTTGATCGGATGACCAGAGGTGATAGCATTTATAAGAATCAGAGTGTCCGAGTGCATAACGATCTTCAAGATGCCTCTCTCCATTGCCTTTTCGATAGCCAAACGCATAGCAAGAGCTTCAGCCATTAAAGGTGAACTAACATAAAGTTCAGATTGAGAGCCATGTTCAAGAACTGTGGTGATTCCGCCTGATGCCTCATTACGATGAAAAGCCCATCCTAGTCCGCCTATAAGGTTCCCTTTATGCCAAGCTCCGTCTGTGTGCCCAATGACGGTGTCATTCGAGATGTGCCGAGTGACGAGACCACTTCTGGGGGCCACATTGACGTATTTTTCCTCAGTTTGTGCCATTTGCTATTCCCTAGCATCTCTCACAGCCTTAATTACCATCTCTTGTTCATTCAGAGCTTTGGTCTCGAAAATTGCTTTATTTCTAGAGGACCATAGAGACCAACAGACCCAAGGGAAGATTGGACCTCCCCCCCTACACCAGTTGGTGGGAAAGCCACACGAGTATTTCCTCTCTTTAGTCTAGCTTTAAGGTTCGTGCTCTGCATTGGGTCAAAATCATTCTTGAGTGGCACTAGTGACATACCTTCCGTGCATAGGGGCAATGGAACAAGAGATGGCTAGTAGTTTCTGTCTCTCCGCAGTGTATACAATTTGTGTTAACATTAACACCTCGTTTGCTTAGATTTTCACCAGTTGCTAATGCTTCACTAGCACAACGCCAGAGGAACCCTTTTACCTTCGGGGAGAATTTACCATTCCAAACCTCTGTAGTCCATTCAATACACTGGTTTGGGATGTTATCCGGTTGTTCGAGTGTCGCCACAGAGACAAAATATCATGATTTTGTGATATAAACACCTGATCCATTTGGAATCCAGCAAAGTGAATTCCTGGCCCCTGTTTTGCTAGGTCGGATGCATAGAATTTGTTGTACGAAATCTGGCAGTGCGTTAACCACTTTCTCCTTGTTCCATTCCAACCTGTTCTCATCCAGAAACTCCTCGACTTTGATGTTGTAATCCGATTCTCTCAAGGGCCCAAACAAACGTATTTGCTCC